TATATATATATATATATATATATACGCAACCAATAAGTTCAAGTTTACTGGTTTGGGGTGCATCACCCTCGACTTTCTTCCACTCATCAACTGCCTTGGAAAACAACGCGCCGTGGCAATCTGTTTGATACCATGCTTAACATACGTCCCCATCAGCGTAATCTATGGCGTCTAACCTCGGTATTGTTAGTTCGGTTGATATGTATATATATGTGAATCCAAAGTGTGCCAAACAAATCACAGTACAATATTCTTTATGAAAAGAAAAAGTTTCATGATTTACATTACCATACTCGGGCGATGCGACATAGATAGCTGTGTTTGAACACCGACAGTTCGTCTTTTTCCTGTTCCCGTATCGACTAAGTCTCTGGTCCATATAGGAGCAATCGCCAAAATGCTTCAAAGATAGCCGGATGCCCAAAACCAGCCTGGTTATCACGTGTGCATTATTCGCGTGCAGTAGACAATCATTGCAAACGTAGTGAACAGAAGGCTTTAGCTTCACCGACAAACGACAGTGATCTTGAGGTGTTGAAGATGGACACGCGCGTAACCACAGCTTAAGTTGACTCTAATGATTGAAATGGCCTCCGTTGCTTATTTTCAAGATTCAAACATTTATTGCTACATCTGTGCTTGAGGAAGATACATTAATCCGATGTTTGCTCTGATTCAATACTCCAAGCGTTGAGAACGACGACACATCCTAACCACTCATCGCTCAAACAAATAAGCTCGTGGGTTTTGAATTGTTCTGGACGATAAAAAAACCGCAAAAAAGCGGAAGAACAACCACAGGTGGAACCTCGCATGAGAAAAACAAACCAACGGACACAACTAACCTTTTGTCGTTCTAAACTAGCCTCTCCAATGGTTGCATCATCCTCGGACAGCTCTTCTAGGGGATCACCAACAAATAAATGAACGTTTGTTGAGTTATCAAGCTTGAGGTTCTTCTTGACGATCGCTTTTAGTTCACCTAGTTACTGTATGACGAAAACCGAATCGTAGAGACATACCGATTGTCTGTGCTTCACTATAGGTTCCCTCAAAATATTCTTTCTCTGTATCCACATCACGAAAAGTGAAGCAAGGCGGATAGATTTCCACCACATAACGCCCGGTTGGTGTCTGAATTGAAGTTCGACGAAAGACTGATGTGTCTGTATGGACACAACCATAGTATTGAACAAACGTATTCCATGCTTCTTCGGGGATAAGGGTTATATCTTGTTCCCGTAACAAGTTTGGTTTTAGCTTTCCGTCATCACCTGGAAAGCTGTGATGAGAAAAAATGGAAACTTAGCCGTACTGAGTAGAGCGGTGTTGTCAATTTCACCGGGATAGTCATCGGAAGCCAAGTCCAAACTCTCCTCGTTCGTCACGGATTCGATGTATGTGCACCACTTGTTCCACCATTGAAAGTCGATCACATACCTAGAATTTCAGGCAAATATATCACACTAAATGTAGCACGCACCAAGCTCGGCCTTCGACGGGAAGCTTTAGGAATTCGTCAATCTTCTCCTTTTGCCGGAGCAATACATCGATGCTTTGTGCGTCTCTGTGGCAAGGGAAATCAATGGGAGATAGACAAATTGCGTTGATGAATTCTAACAGGGTACCACCAACTGATAAATCATTAAATGTTTGACTGAATTCTAACATCCACATTTCTCTTCGATAATTGCTCAGAATAGATAAAAAAAGACAGAAAGAGTGTAAGATTATGAAGAGTGCGTGGATGAATTGAACCATTTCGCGAAATGTGCCACTTGCAACCATCATCATTATCGTACAGCGAAATACAGGGAAGCGAATTTCACTGATCACTGCCAAGCTCGCAATGCAACCGGCACGAACGAATGCCATACTGACTTAAGTGAAAATAAATTAAGGATTAATTCATTTGGTTCCTCTTACAATTGGAAAGGAGAACCAATTTGCTGGCCTTTTCACTTACTTTTACACTCTCGATTCTGAGTTAGCGTTTGTATGCTTGCAAAGCGCACCAAAGGAAATAGATCAATTTTAGCTTCAGGCGAACCAGGAACACCAGGAAAGCAATGCGAAATTTGTTAAATATGCATACCTTGGCTTCGAAGGAAGAATATGTACTGGTGATTATGGGATTTAGTTCACTTCAGTTTTTACAACCATTAACCATGCACTTTCGTACGCCGGTTTTGGTTGCTGAATTTTTGGTGCCCCATTTGGATAAAACAGCAGAATGAAGATAGGAACGTTGAAAGCAAATTTAAGCGGAAGATTGAAAATTCATATATAATAGTGAAAGCGGAATAATGAGTGGATGCTTGAGCGCTACTGCTTGTGACACCCAGCCATATCACTCAGTATCTCTAACCATTGGTGGCCATCATCTCGGGGTCCCCAACCAGGAGGCCAACGGGGCCTTTGAGACCTAGTCTCCTGGTCAAGGTTTCCATACCCCCTCCCCTATGCCAGATTTTCGTTTGGTCAACCATTTTTGACTATTTTTCAACCGCTCTGACTCGGCAAACATCGCTCGCCGTGGCAACATATTTGGTGACATGCGTAAAACACGCTCCAACCAACGTAA